AAAAGATTTAACTATTGGCCAGGTTTAGGGGCCCATGCCTGTAATCCAGCACTTTGGGAGGCAGAGGCAGAAGGATCCGTTGAGCCCAGGAATTCGAGACCAGCCTGGAAAACATAGCAAGAACTCCAACATTAAAAATATATATATATGGGCCGGGAGCGGTGGCTCATGCCTGTAATCCCAGCACTCTGGGAGACTGAGGCGGGCAGATCACGAGGTCAGGAGATCGAGACCATGCTGGCTAACACGGTGAAACCCTGTTTTTACTAAAAATACAAAAAAATTAGCCAGGTGTGGTGGCATGCACCCGTAGTGTCAGCTACTCGGGAAATAGGCAGGAGCATCGCTTGAACCCAGGAGGCGGAGGTTGCAGTGAACCGAGATCACGCTACTGCACTCCAGCCTGGGCGACAGGGCGAGACTCTGTCTCAAAAAAAAAAAAAAAAAAAAAAAAAAAAAAAAATTCTATTTAAAAACAAAAAACAAACCAACCAAAAACACCAGCCTGGGCAACATGGTGAAACCCAATCTCAACTAAAAATACAAATTAGCTGGGTGTAGTCACAGCTACTCCGGAGGCTGAGGCGGTTGGATCACTTGAGCCCGGGAAGTCGAGGCTGTGCAGTAAGCTGTGATCTCGCCACTGCACTCCAGGCTGGGTGATGGGAGTGAGATCCTGTCTCAAAAATAAATAAAAATTAACTATTGTCTCCGGCCCCAAACCATCGGTGTCCTTACAGCAGGGGCTGCCTGGCGTGCTCTCCACTCAGGCACCTCTAGGAGGTGCCAAATTAATCTTTGAGCGAAGACCTCCGAGTCCCTGTCTGGCTGCCACTCTGTCCTCCCAGGCCTTCCCACGTGGTAGCCGCAGGCTCCTTTCCTCCTGGCTCAGTCTGAGCCAGGCAGGGTGATCCCTTCCTCGTCTACCCCGTCTCCCCATTTCCCTTTCTTCACAGTGCTTTACGCTATCTAATATTATTTAGTTGCTTGAATGTGCGCGTGCAGCGGCCAGAACGCTCCCTGCACACAGGGAAAGATGAATGAATGAAATAAAGCGCCCAGCGTGTAATAAGCGCCAATCAACGTCTCTTAGTAGTGGAACCCGGATTGGGTGGCCCCAGCCCTGCCTCCCTTCCCCCAGGAGGCGCCGACGTCCCGGAGCAGCCCGCGCTACCCTGTCCTTGACCTTTCTCCCTGGGTCAATTAAACCGGCCGTCTTTCCCGCCCGCCGAGTACATTTGAAAACCGAAAACCCCGCGATTGCTGGCGGGCCACCTGCTGCCGCGCTCTGACCAAACAGGAGCAACGCCTTTCACCCGGAGCCCGAAATTACCCCGGCGACGCGCGTCCATTGGTTACGCAGGCCCTGTGGGCGGAGCGCCGTAAGGTCGCGCCACAGGCAAAGCGGCGTCGTTACACAGCAGCGAATTTGTAAGAAAACAAATCCCCGGCGTTCGGGGCGGGGCCGGGAGCACGTTGGCTCCGCCCCCTGGCAGCTGCCCTGCCTGCGGCGGCGGCGCAGGCTCAGAGCAGACCCCGCCCGGCTCGGAGGAGGGAGGGTGAGTTGGGGGGAGACCCGGCCCCCAAGGGGCGGGCGCCGGGCAGGGCCCCGCGGGCGGCTGAGGGTTGGGCCGGGTTCTCGGCCCCTCACGGCGGGCCGGCTGACAGGGGGGAGGAGCCCGCTGGGAGGGCCGGGGTCTCGGGCTGTGGATCCCGGCCGGGAGTGCAGCGCAGCCAGGTGCACCGCGGCCGCGCCCCGCGAGGGCTGTTCGGGCCAGCGCCCGCCGGCTCCTCGGTGCTGACGGCGCCTGGCTGGGGCGGGGTGGGGGACTTCGCAGGCCGTCAGTGTCGACATGCTGCTGGAGGAGGTCTGCGCCGGCGACCGGCTGAGTGGGGCCGCGGCCCGGGGCGACGTGCAGGAGGTGCGCCGCCTTCTGCACCGCGAGCTGGTGCATCCCGACGCCCTCAACCGCTTTGGCAAGACGGCGCTGCAGGTGAGGCCGGGCTGGCTCGGGTCAGGGGCGGGGCGGCTCAGCGAGGTGAGTATCGAGACCCCAGAGCCCCTCTCCTCTGGTCTCTTGGCCCTGGTGGTGACCCACCGGAGACCAGTCCTTTTTCTCTAGTCTTTCATTGTTCCCCCACGGTCCCCTTTCGAAGGTGGGTGGTGGGTGAGGCTAGGTTGGAGGGGGAGGGGATAGCTTTCCAGATTCTTCTCTGGGAGGATTCCTGGCTCTCTGAGTGCAGGGGATTCTTTTTCCCTGGGGAGGTTCTTTCTATTCCGTGGGTGGGGGTTCAGCTTCTTTGGATGCCTTTTCCCTAGGGACGGCTCACATTTTGGGGGGCTTCTATGGGGACATCCGATCTCTGGAAGGAGAGTTACGGTCTCCAGGGGTTCCTCATTTTGTAGGGGGCTCTCTGAGACATATTTGGTTACTTGGGGGTGGGGTCTTAATTCCCAAAGTTTATGCGGATCTTTGGTATAGTGTGGAGGCTCCAGAGGAGAAACAGTGTCAGATTGCAAGAGTCCCTATATTCCCTTGGGAGACATGTTACAGAGGAGTCTCTTTTCTCTTATTACTTTTGGAATCCTCCTTTCTTTCTTTCTTTCTTTCTTTCTTTCTTTTTTTTTAAAGATGGGGTTTCACCATGATGGCCAGGCTTGTCTTGAACTCCTGACCTCAGGTGATCCACCCACCTCGGCCTCCCAAAGTGCTAGGATTACAGGCGTGAGCCACCGCGCCCGCCCGGCTTTTTTTTTTTTTTTTTAGAAGCTGGAGTGCAGTGGCACGATCTTGGCTCACTGCAACCTCCACCTCCCTGGTTCAAGCGATTCTTCACCATCAGCCTCCCGAGTAGCTGGGATTACAGGCCCCCACCACCACGCCCGGCTAATTTTTGTATTTTTAGTAGAGGCGGGGTTTCGCCAAGTTGGCCAGGCTGATTTTGAACTCTTGACCTCAGCTGATCCACCTGCTTCGGCCTGGCAAAGTGCTAGGATTACAGGCGTGAGCCCTGCACTGGTCAGAATCCTGTTTTTTGAAAGGAGCTCTCAGGTATCCTGAAGTGACATCATCATTATAGGAGGAGGCTGTTTCCTGGAGAATGGCGGCGGGGGGTGGGGGGGTTCGCTTTTCTTTGGCATCTCTTTTTCCTTTTGAGGACTGTCAAGTTCTTTGGGGGTAGTTCTCAGTCTCTTGGGGCCCATTTCCTGGAGGGGATTTTATATTTCCTGGTGATTGCCCATATCTGGGGTGTCTTTGGTCCCGTGGAGGAGAGTCTTGGGTTCCTTGAAAGTTTCCATAGGGGCTGTTCTCTGGGTTGGGGGTCTTATATTATTCTTAAGGGAGTGACCAGCTTCTGGCGCTCGGGATTGGGGTGAGGGCAGGCGGTGGGGGAGAGGGGGAGGAAAGGGTTCTCTATTCCCAGGAGAACTTTTTCTCTGTCTTCTCAAACAGTTCCCTGGGGGCTTATGCAGCTTCCCCGTTCACTAGAGGACCCCTCCTCTGGCATATCCTGTTCCTGGGAGATGCCTCTTTCTGGATGACCCTTCTCTCTCCAGTGACCCCTTTTTCAGAACCCCCTGCCTTGAAGACCTCCTGATCCTCTGTCCCTCACACAGGTCATGATGTTTGGCAGCACCACCATCGCCCTAGAGCTGCTGAAGCAAGGTGCCAGCCCCAATGTCCAGGACACCTCCGGTACCAGTCCAGTCCATGACGCAGCCCGCACTGGATTCCTGGACACCCTGAAGGTCCTAGTGGAGCATGGGGCTGATGTCAACGCGCCTGATGGCACCGGGGCACTTCCCATTCATCTGGCGGTGCAAGAAGGTCACACTGCTGTAGTCAGCTTTCTGGCAGCTGAATCTGATCTCCATCTCAGGGATGCCAGGGGGCTCACACCCCTGGAGTTGGCACAGCAGAGAGGGGCTCAGGACGTCGTGGACATCCTGCAGGGGCACATGGTGGCCCCGCTGTGATCTGGGGTCACTCTCTCTAGCAAGAGGACCCGATGGGGTTACATATCAGGAGAGAAAGGAAGAAACACTTTCTCTTCTTGTTTCTCCTACCCACTGCCGCAGTAGGGGAGGAGCACCAGTTTGTGGCTTATAGGTGTTGGTTTTGGGGGTGTGTGTGTGTTTGGGGGACGTTTCTCATTTGTTTTTCTCACCCCTTTTGGTGTGTTGGACAGAGAAGGACTCCTGCAGGCCACAGCCACCTAAACGGTTCAGTTTCTTCTGTGCCTCAGACAAGACCCAACGGCCGAGCATTTAAGAGTGAGGTTGTCACCTCCAGAGCTCCTGGAACCTGGTGACTTTGGCCGGCTGTGCTCAAAGACCTGAAGTGATGTTGCTTCGGGCATGGGGGGTGGGAGAGCGTCCCAAGTCAATAAGAAGGTAGCATGAGTTTATATTCTGTTGGAAGCTTGTTTTCCAGTCTCTTGTACAGCGTTTTAAAAGAAATAGATTCTATTTATTATGCTTTATTGGAAAAAATGTTGTGTGTAATAATTTAATGTTTTTACCCATTAAATTAAGACTTGTGCATGATCACAGCGTGGGTGCCTTCTGATTTTTGAGTCTGGGATGGGGAGTCACAGGTCTTGGATGTTGATGGGGATGAGGACGGGGGTCGAGAATCGTGGATGCCGTGGGTGAGGGGAGAGAATAGTAATTCCCAGGGCGCCGGGGTGAGTGAGCTGGGTGGGGCAGCGGTTTTCTCTGTCGGAACGGAAGGGAAGCAGGAAACCGCGAGTGGAGAAAGGGCCCCCAGATGTCAGCTGGGTGCCCGGAGCCCAGGGGGTGGGGCGGGTGGGCGGTGGCCGCGGTCCCTTCCCGCAGGGGCGTAGCCGTGGGTGGTGACTGCGGTCACGAGGCGAAAGAGAGCCCAGAAAAGCCGGGGGCGGGGTTAGGCGCGGTCCGCCTCCTTTAAAGGTGGATGTGGGCGGGGCCGAGGGCGGCCCCCGCCCCTCCTGGACGTCCTCAATGCGCGTGCGCAGTGGGCCACAGAGCCGCCATGCCGGAACCTCACGGGTCGTCGCTGCTGCGGGTGAACGCGGCGTTTGCCGCGCGGTACAACCGCTACCGGGAGCGCGAGGAACTGCAGCGGCGTGAGTGTGGAGCGCATGCGCGCAGGAGCGTACGCGCGCTGGACGGGTGGGAAGTGGGGAGTCGAGCTGGCCCCGCGGGCTGACCTGGGGGGGGCATTACGTCTGTGCCCCGCAGTGAAGGATCGCTACGGGGACCGGGACAGCGGCGGCGACTCTAGCTCCGAGTCGGACTCCAGTGACGAGCGCGTGGTGCGTGTCCCCTTCCCGTCCTGGGGATGCAGAGGAGTCCAAGCCCCCCTACCGACCCAGACGTAGACGGGGGGGTTAGCCCTCAACCCCAGAGCGCCCTGCGGGAGCGTCCAGCTCCCGCCTCCGCCCCCACCGTGAGGCACGGAAAGCTCTCTTCCTCTGCCCAGGGGAGCCAAATTTCCCCCTATTTTCTCTCCCCTGCCACGATCCACCTGCCCACTTTGATTCTGGGGCGACTCCTCTGTCCCCCAAGAACCCCCTTCCCCTTTCATCCTCGAGTCTAGCCATTTTTCAGTGTACCCCTTGTGCCACGTGGGGCGCCCAACTTCTGCCCACATCAACCCTGATCTTGGTCCCACTGTGGGCCTGGCCCAGCCCCTCCCCGCTGTCTCCCTTGCGCCCTCAGCCCACCTGCTCCTTGTCAAGTCCTTGTCTTCCCCAGGAATTACCTTCTTGCCCCTCGCCTTCCTTTACCCATATCCTGTACACCTGTGGCCCGCCCTTGCCTACCCCAAGAGGGCCCCTCCCTCCTGTTGTTGACCACCTGCCTCTCTCCCCAGCCAGATCCCTCCCTCGCTCCATCCTAATCCCTACGCTGAGCTCACCTGCTGGTGCCAGGGCTCTTATTACCTGCCTTCTGAAGTCTGTCCCCAACCCTTTTCCTGCCCTAGGTATTTGACCCCCAGCAGGAGCGGGACTTTTACAGAACGCTCTCCTTGTTGAAGAAGAAGGACCCCCGCATTTATCAGAAAGATGCCACCTTCTATCAAAGAACAGGTCTGGGGGCACACCTGTCAGCCTCTCCGTTCCTCAGGAACGGAATCCGGGGTCCTTTCCTGTATGGATTCGGAGAAGTGACTTGAATTCTCTCAGCGTCTTTTCCTGTCTGTAAAGTATATCTAATGGTACCATCTACCCTCAGGGCTGTTTTAAGGATAGACTGGGTTTTTCCCAGTTTACACAGTTCATCTGTTGTGATTATTGAATGAATTGCTTCACAAGTCCTTAGCAAGAGCCTAGGTTATTACCTGGTAGTGGGGTTAATGACTGTGTGCTTGGCACTGTTCATGGTGGGAGTTGCTGACTGAATGATTCCAACTCCACTAGGCTGGGCAGATGGTTCAAACCTCTGATCCCAGCACTTTGGGAGGCTGAGGTAGGATGGTCACTTGAGGCCAGGAGTTTGAGACCAGTGTGGGCAACATAGCAAGACCCCATTTTTTTTTTTTCCCTTGGAGACAGAGTCTTGCTCTGTCGCCCAGGCTGGAGTGCAGTGGTGCAGTCTCGGCTCACTGCAGTGTCCACCTCCCAGGTTCACACAATTCTCCTGCCTCAGCCTCTTGAGTAGCTGGGATTACAGGCACCCGCCACCAAACCTGGCTAATTTTTCTATTTTTCGTAGAGACGGGGTTTTACAGTGTTGGCCAGGCTGGTCTTGAATTGGCCGGTCTCAAACTCCTGACCTTGTGGTCCGCCCACCTCAGCCTCTCAAAGTGCTAGGAATACAGGCGTGAGCCACTGCACCTGGCTGCAAGACCCCATTTTTACAAAAGATACAGAACTTAGCTGGACATGCTGGCATGTGCCTAGCGTCCAAGGTATTTGGGAGGCTGAGGTGGGAGGATTGCTTGAGCCCCTGAGTTTGAGGCTGCAGTGAGCTGTGAGTTAGGATCTTGGCACTGTACTCCAGCCTGAGCAACAGACTGAGACCCCAACTCTCAAAAAACTAATTATAATAATTAATCAGGTTGGGCATGGTGGTTCATGCCTGTAATCCTAGCACTTGGGGAGGCTGAGGTGGGAGGATCACTTGAAGTTAGGAGTTGGAGATCAACCTGGCCAACATGGTAAAACCTTGTCTCTACTGAAAATACAAAAATTAGCTGGGTGTGGTTTTGCACAGCTGTAATCCCAGCTACTCGGGAGGCTGAGGCAGGAGAATTGCTGGAACCTGGGATTCAGAGGATGCAGTGAGCCGAGATCACGCCATGCACTCCAGCCTGGGCAACATAGGGAGACTCTCCCTACAAATAATAGTCAAAGCAGGAATTCCTGACTGAATGGCCCCAACCCCACCAGACGGTGATAAGCACAATACTCTTAGACAGCTGGGAATTGGTGGATTGGGGATTTGAATCCTTTGTCTAACCCTGGCCCTGCCTTTTGGGATTCTCTGCCAGGGGAAAGAAGAGGGTTGTGGGTAATGGCAGGTGTCTTGGTGGGTTAACAGCATCGTCATCAGACAGCGAGGAGGAGCCAGCAGCTTCGGAGAAGCAGAAAAAAGTACAGCCCATGTACCTGAAGGACTACGAGAGGAAGGTCATCCTGGAGAAGGAAGGGTATGGAGAAGGCCCACATCTCCACCCCCTGGTCCCCAGCCCTCTCAGGTTTATGGGGGTCTTGGGGCAGGAGAGGAAAAAAGCTGGCAACCTGGGCCAGGCATGGGCTCATGCCTGTAATCCTAGCACTTTGGTAAGCCAAGGCAATAGGATTGCTTGAGGACAGTAGTTCGAGACCAGCCTGGGCAACATACTTGTCTTTACAACATTAAAAATTAGCTGGGCATGATGATGGGTCTCTGTACAGTCCCAGCTCCTCAGGAGGCTGAGGCGGGAGGATTCCTTGAGCCCAGGAGATGAAGGCTGCAGTGAACTATAATCAGGCCACTGCACTGCAGCCTAAGCAACAAAGCAAGACCTTGTTGCCAAAAAAAGGCAACCTGGCACGGTGGCTCATGCCTGTAATCCCAGCATTTTGGGAGGCCGAGACGGGTGGATCACCTGAGGTCAGGAGACCAGCCTGGCCAACATGGCAAAACCCCATCTCTACTAAAAATACAAAAACGTGGAAACTCAGTAGAATTGCAGATACTCCTGAGCACAGGAGCCTCAGTGACTCCATAAGCCTCTCAGGATCCCCACCAGCTGTTGCTTGGAACAGCTGCCTTGCATGGGCATGGGGACAGGCAGGCCGGGAAGATACTTTCTAAAGACCTCACTTTTCCTCTACAGCAAATATGTTGACGAGGAGAACTCAGATGGGGAAACTTCCAATCACAGACTCCAGGTGTGTGGGGTGGAGACTGGGTCCCGGGGGGGTGCCGGGCCCGGGGCTGGCCTGAGACCCACAGCCCTCTCTCCTTTGCAGCGGACCTCATCACAAAGTTATGTGGAGGAACAGAAACAGCTCAAAGAAAGGTGAGGCTGGGCCGTTAGGAGTGGCCAGTAGAGGAAAGCTGAGGCTCAGGGATTGGACAGGCAGGTGTTCAAAATTGAGCTCTGTCTCTTTCTCTCCACCTGCTTCTGTTTCCTCATCATCTAAATGAGGTTAATGACATCACAGCACAATTCTGAGCTTGTTGAGAGGAGAGGTCAGGGCTTAGTAAATGGGGTCCATCTTGGGGCAGCCAGTCGGGTGAGGTGGCTCATGCCTGTAATCCCAGGGCTTTGGGAGGCAGAAGAGGGAGGATCACTTGAGCCCAGGAGTTCAAGACCAGCCTGGACAACATAGGGAGACCCCATCTCTACAAAATAAAATGAATGTTGGGGCAGCAGACAGGGGCCAGCCTATCCTGAGGCTTTTCTCTCATGGGCAGCTTCCGGGCATTTGTGGAGGACAGTGAGGACGAGGACAGTGCTGGGGAGGGCGGCTCTAGTTTGCTGCAGAAACGTGCCAAAACCAGGCAGGAGAAGGTGGGTATTGGGGCCCGGCTGTACCACTGGGGGGCAGCATGGGGGGTGGCTGAGTGTCTGCAGATGCTCAGTGCTGGCCTTCCCCCAGGCCCAGGAGGAGGCCGACTACATTGAGTGGCTGAAGGGACAGAAAGAGATTCGGAACCCAGAGTCCCTGAAGGAACTGGTGAGTTCTCGCATGTGGTCACCAATGGAGTAGACCACGTGTTCTGCCTCCAACTATTTACAAAAAATAACCCACTGAAAATGAGGTGTGTGCATCTGTGGGCCTCAGTTCCCACATCTCATAATATGGGGATAGGCTGAGTGCGGTGGCTCACACCTGTAATCCCAGTGCTTTGGGAGGTCAAGGCAGGAGGATTGCTTGAGGCCAGGAGTTTGAGACCAGCTTGGGCAACACAGCAAAACCTCTCTACAAAAAAATGAAAAAATTAGCCAGGCATGGTGGCACGTGCCTGTAGTCTCAGGTACTTGGGAGGCTATTGTGGGAGGATCGCGTGAGCCTGGGAGGTGAATCTGCAGTGAGCTATGATTGCACTACTGTACTCTAACCTGGATGGTAGAGCAAGACCCTGTCTTGAAATAAAAAAAAAAAAGAAAGGTGGGGGGCTAATGTCACCTACTGCAGAGGCTGGCTATGAGGTCCACGTGGTGACCATGCCTGTCCTTTCCTGTCCTCCATTGACCGAGGTCCTGTCTTCTGTCACCCCCAGACCCATCTCAAGGAATACTGGAACAACCCTGAGTTGGATGAAGGGGAGCAGTTTCTGCGGGATTACATCCTCAACAAACGCTACGAGGAGGAGGAAGATGAGGAGGAGGATGAGGAGGAAGATGAAGGGTGAGCCGCTGTGCCTCTCCAGGGCCTAGATTTAGGGTGTTCTTCCTGAAATATCCCCAAGCGGCACTGGCCAGGAGGCAGAGGGCACCACGCATGTATTTTCTTCACAGATGGTGGCAGAGTTAGTCATATGTATTTTCTTCACAGATGGTGGCAGAGTTAGTCTTCTGCAAGACAGAGCCACAGAGTGTGGGCTCTGGAGCCAGATGGCACTGCCTCAAATCCTGGTTCTGTTTTGAGACTTCCATGCCTCAGTTTCCCCATATGTAAAATAACAATGGCAGCGTGCACCTTGTAGCGTTGTGAGAATTAAATGTGTTCATACATTTTGTACTCAGGCGTGCAGGAAATGTGAGCTCAACCTCCCTTGGCTGGCCCCCCAGCCTCACTGCATCTTGTGCCTCAGGGTCCCGGGTCCCCCAGTCCAGCTGGCTGTGGATGACTCCTCAGACGATGGGGAGCTGTTTCTTAAGAAGCAGGAAGACTTCGAACACAAGTACAACTTCCGTTTTGAGGAGCCGGACTCGGCATCGGTGTGTGGCTGGGGAGGACTCGGCCCCCGGGGTCCATGCCCAGAGAGCCCCACATCATCTCTGTGGCCCTTCTGGGCTTTTCTGCTCCTCTCTAGGTCAAGACCTACCCACGCAGCATTGCGTCCTCTGTGCGCCGTAAGGATGAGCGCAGGAAGGAGAAGAGGGAAGAGACTCGGGAGCGCAAGAAGAGGGTGAGTGTGGGGCCAGCTGGGGAGGACCCCTCAGCCCTTCAGGAAAGCCCATGCCTTCCCTCCCTCTGCCTGGGCCTGCAGGAGAAAGCAAAGAAGCAGGAAGAGCTCAAGCAGCTGAAGAACCTGAAGAGGAAGGAGATTCTGGCCAAGCTGGAGAAGCTGCGGAAAGTCACGGGCAATGAGACGCTGGGGCTCGAGGAGAGGGACCTTGAGGACGACTTCGACCCAGCCCAGCATGACCAGCTCATGGAGGTATGGCCCCTCATCCTGTAATGCTGACCTCACACAAACGTGGCTCTCGCTGGGCACAGTGGCTCATGCCTGTAATCCCAGCACTTTGGGAGGCTGAGGCGGGTGGATCACTTAAGTCGGGAGTTTGAGATCAGCCTGGCCAACATGGTGAAACCACATCTCTACTAAAAAATAGAAAAATTAGCCAGGTATAGTGGTGGGCACCTGTAACCCCAGCTACTTGGGAGGCTAAGACAGAATTACTTGAACCCGGGAGGCAGAGGTTGCAGTAAGCCGAGATTGTGCCACTGCACTCCAGCCTGGGTGACAGAGCAAGACTACTTAAAAATAAAAAGACTTAAGCTGGTTGCTGTGGTTCACACCTGTAATCCCAGCACTTTGGGAGGCCGAGACGGGCAGATCACCTTAGGTCAGGAGTTCAAGACTAGCTTGGCCAACGTGGTAACACCCCATCTCTACTAAAAATACAAAAATTAGCCAGGCCTAGTAGTGGGTGCCTGTAATCCCAGCAGGCTGAGGCAGGACAATCGCTTGAACCTGGGAGGTGGTGGTTGCAGTGAGCTGAGATTGCGCTATTGCACTCCAGCCTGTGAAACAAGAGGAAGACTTCATCTCAAAAAATAAAAAGACCTGGGGCCTGAGTAGTGCAGTGGGTGTAGGCACCACAGGGGCAAAGGCCTGTAGGAAGGCAAAGAACTGGATCTGTGGAACTGAATGGCGGCCAGTATATCATAGGGTAGAGAGCAAGGGAGCTGGCAGAGGAGCCCGGACATGCAGGGTCCCCCCCACCTTAGGAGCTAGGTCCTGGGAGGGCTCTGGGGAGCCCCACGAGGTGCAGGACTAAAACTGCCACAGAGGGGTCACTGGCAGTATTGTTGGGGACTCAGCTCCTCCGCCTTGAGTGGGCCACGGTGACTCTCAGCCCTGACCCTCCAGAAGTGCTTCGGGGACGAGTACTACGGGGCGGTGGAGGAGGAGAAGCCGCAATTTGAGGAAGAGGAAGGGCTTGAAGGTGAGATCAGCTGGGGTACCAGGCTGGGGCTGAGGGACTGGGGACTGGGCCTGAAGCCCAAGGTCCCGCCCTGACCCCACCTGTCTGTTCTGTCTGCATCCAGATGACTGGAACTGGGACACGTGGGATGGGTCTGAGCAGGATGGAGACTGGAGCCAGCATTGTGAGGACCCCGACTTCAACGTAGGTGTCACGGGTTGGGGGAGTCCCAGGGGCCCTGACTGAGGGCTGGCAGGATCTGACCTGTGTGTCCTGGCAGATGGATGCCGACTACGACCCCAGCCAGCCGAGGAAGAAAAAGCACGAGGCCCCCTTGACAAGCAAGAAGAAGCGCAAGTCACCCTTCGCTGCAGCCGTGGGGCAGGTGAAGCCCGTGTTCGAACCTGGTGAGGCCCAGGTGGGCAGGCTGTGGGTGGGGAAGGGGCTCCTCAGGACCTGGCACAGCCCGGCAACCTGGCTGTGTCTTGAACAGGGGACAAGACATTCGAGGAGTACTTGGATGAGTATTACCGGCTGGACTACGAGGACATCATCGACGACCTGCCCTGTCGCTTCAAGTACCGCACCGTGGTGCCCTGCGACTTTGGCCTCAGCACTGAGGAGGTAGGGCCTAGGCAGGTGGGGACACTGCTAGAGGGTACCAGGTATGCGGGAGGGGCAGGAAGCTGGCCCTGAACCCTGATCTCTGTTGCTCAGAAATGGTACAACACAGCGGCCTGTTTCTTCATCTTGAAAATGAAGGGCCGGGTGCGGTGGCTCACGCCTGTGATCCCAACACTTTGGGAGGCCAAGGCAGGCGGATCACAAGGTCAAGAGATCAAGACCATCCTGGCCAACATGGTGAAACTCCGTCTCTACTAAAATACAAAAAAATAACCGGGTGTGCCAGCACACGCCTGTAGTTCCAGCTACTTGGGAGGCTGAACGCAGGAGAGTCACTTGCAGCCAGGAGGCAAAGGTTGCAGTGAGCCGAGATCGCGGCACTGCACTCCAAGCTCCAGACAGTTTCACTAGGTGACAGAGTAAGACTGTCTCAGGAAAAAAAAAAAAATTAGTCCAAATGACAGTACTATTACCTTGCCTCAAAGGTAGTATTACTACCTTCTACATGGTGGGGCCTCAAAACAGTATCTCACCCATGGCATGCCATGCCCCATAAATATTACTTTTTTTGAGATAGTCTTGCTCTGTTCCCCACGTTGGAGTGCAGTGGTGCCAACCTCCTGGGGTCAGGTGATCCTCCCAAGCAGCTGGGACTACAGGAATGTGCCACCATGCCCAATTAAAAAAAAATTTTTTGCCGGGCGCGGTGGCTCAAGCCTGTAATCCCAGCACTTTGGGAGGCCGACGCGGGTGGATCACGAGGTCAAGAGATCGAGACCAGCCTGGTCAACATGGTGAAACCCCGTCTCTACTAAAAATACAAAAAATTAGCTGGGCATGGTGGCGCGTGCCTGTAATCCCAGCTACTCAGGAGGCTGAGGCAGGAGAATTGCCTGAACCCAGGAGGCGGAGGTTGCGGTGAGCCGAGATCGTGCCATTGCACTCCAGCCTGGGTTAACAAGAGCGAAACCCCGTCTCAAAAAAAAAAAAAAAAAAAAAAAAAATTTTGTGTGCAGTGTTTTACTGCGTTATGCAGGCTGCTCTCAAACTCACTAGGCTTAAACAATCTTCCTGTTTTGGCTTCCCAGAGTGCTGGGGTTATAGGTGTGCGACACCATACCTAGCCAGTATTACTTATTGTTTTTCTTTTTCTTTTTTTTTTTGAGACGGAGTTCCGCTCTTGTTACCCAGGCTGGAGTGCAACGGCACAATCTCGGCTCACTGCAACCTCCGCCTCCTGGGTTCGGGCAATTCTCCTGCCTCAGCCTCCTGAGTAGCTGGGATTACAGGCACGCGCCACCATGCCCAGCTAATGTTTTGTACTTTTAGTAGAGACGGGGTTTCACCATGTTGACCAGGATGGTCTCGATCTCTCGACCTCGTGATCCGCCCGCCTCGGCCTCCCAAAGTGCTGGGATTACAGGCTTGAGCCACCGTGCCCAGGCCTGTTTTTCATTTTTTGATTGATTGAGACGGAGTCTTGCTTTGTTGCCTAGGCTGGCATGCAGTGCTGTGATCACAGCTCACTGCAAACTCTGCCTCCCAGGTTCAAATGACTCTCCTGCCTCAGCCTCTCAAGTAGCTGGGACTACAGGCATGTGCCATCATGCCCAATTTTTATATTTTTAGTAGACGCAAGGTTTCACCACGTTGGCCAGGCTGATCTGGAATTCCTGGCCTCGTGTGATCTGCCCTCCTCAGCCCCCAAAGTGCTGGGATTACAGATGTGAGACACTGCGCCCAGCTAATATTATGCTTTTAATTCTCTCAATATGTATCAGCAGCAGTCTGGCTGGTAAGACTTGGTAGCAGGACTGGGCACACTGGCTCACACCTATAATCCCAGTACTCTGGGAGGCTGAGGCAGGAGGATCACTTGAGCCCAGTTCTGAGACTAGCCTGGGCAACATAGGGAGATATAGTTCTAGTTACTTGGGAGGCTGAGGCAGGAGGGTTGCTTGAGTCCAGGAGGTTGAGGCCGCTATGAACATACCACTGCCCTCCAGCCTGGGCAAGAGTGAGACCCTGTTTCAAAAAAAGCCTTGATATCCTCTGGAACTAGGGGACCCAGGTGGGTTAAAGCCCTGGCTTGGCTATTCACTAGCTGTGTCTCCGGACAAGTGATTCCCCCATCTGTAAAATGGGACAATAATTGATAACACCCCAACTTCCGACTTGGAAGGAACAGGCATAAGATCAAATGCTGTGTGGCCCATAGCAGGCTGTGGGCATCTACTCTTCCCCGCTTATGACAGCTGAAAGTGCATGACTGTTGCATGGTCAGTAAAAATAGCCAATGTGTACTGAGCCGATACCATCAGCACTCACTTCCCCTTTCTGATGGCCTTCCAGTAGGTTTGGAAACTGAGGCCTAGAGACTGGGAATGAGAGCCTCATGTGTAATTAGGAACCCTGGTGGTTGGGAGCAACCCCTGCCTGTTTTGAGGCTTTGGGGATAACTGGGAATGGGTGACAGCTCAAGAGCTCTGGGGCTCAAACTGAAATCAGTTCAGTCGAGGCCGGGTGCGGTGGCTCAAGCCTGTAATCCCAGCACTTTGGGAAGCCGAGGCGGGTGGATCACGAGGTCAAGAGATTGAGACCAACGGCCGGGCGCGGTGGCTCAAGTCTGTAATCCCAGCACTTTGGGAGGCCGAGGTGGGTGGATCACGAGGTCAAGAGATTGAGACCATCCTGGTCAACATGGTGAAACCCTGTCTCTACTAAAAATACAAAAACTTAGCTGGGCATGGTGGCGCGTGCCTGTAATCTCAGCTATTCGGGAGGCTGAGGCAGGAGAGTTGCCTGAACCCAGGAGGCAGAGGTTGCGGTGAGCCGAGGTCACGCCATTGCACTCCAGCCTGGGTAACAAGAGCGAAACTCTGTCTCAAAAAAAAAAAAAAAGAAATCAGTTTAGCCAACTTCCTAGCCATAAGGCCTAGGGCAAGGATCCATTCTCTGAGCCTCAGTTTCCCCATCTGACCTCTGCAAAAAATACTGGCCTCTGTAGCAGTCAGTCTCTGGCCATGATGGCAGCCCTGCTTGCTGGTAGCAGCATTACTGTTTTGACTAATGAGGTGACTCGGGCTCGCGGAAGAGTCAGGCCCCACATGGGGAATATCACAGCAGGTCCCCACCCTCCCTTCCCATGCAGATCCTCGCTGCTGATGATAAGGAGCTCAACCGGTGGTGCTCTCTGAAGAAGACCTGCATGTACAGGTGACACAGTGGGGCGGGGCCGTGTGTGCAGGGGCGGGCAGCCCGGGGCACTTCCCAGAGCACCCAACAACAGGCCCCTCTGTGTGCAGGTCGGAGCAGGAGGAGCTTCGGGACAAGCGGGCATACAGCCAGAAGGCCCAGAACTCATGGAAAAAGCAGCAGATCTTCAAGTCACTCTGCAGGGAGGAGTAAGCAGTGCTGGCTGGGGAAGTGTGGGTCAGGAGCCCGCCAGGCCCAGGCTTGAGTCTTGGCTCTGTCAGCCTCTTGTTGCATGACTTTGGGAATACAGCGCCTCTCCCCACCTCTCCTCCCCATTCCCCCACTCTGAGACCCGGGTTCTAATCCTGGGTGCCATTGCTGTGACCTTGGGTAAGTCGCTGCCCCTCTCTGGGTCTGCTTCTTGTAAGGTGGATAGACGATTCCACCTCATAAGATTGCTGAGGATGAAGTGAGTTAATTCATGTAAAGTGATGAAGAGATGGTAAATGCCTGATAGGTCTCCGCTGTTATAAGGCACGGGGTGATAGTTACTTAAAACTAAAAAGAGGCCCTGTGCATGCTCCAGCCTCTAATCCCAGCACTTTGGAATAATTGGGTGAAAAGATCGCTTGAGCCCAGGAGCTGGAGGCTGCCGTGAGCTATGATCACACCACTGCACTCCAGCCTGGGTGAAAATGCAAGACCCGGCCGGGCGCGGTGGCTCAAGCCTGTAATCCCAGCACTTTGGGAGGCCGAGGCGGGTGGATCACGAGGTCAAGAGATCGAGACCATCCTGGTCAACATGGTGAAACCCCGTCTCTACCAAAAATACAAAAAATTAGCTGGGCATGGTGGCAGGTGCCTGTAATCCTAGCTACTCAGGAGGCTGAGGCAGGAGAATTGCTTGAACCCAGGAGGCGGAGGTTGCGGTGAGCCGAGATCGTGCCATTGCACTCCAGCCTGGGTAACAAGAGCAAAACTACGTCTCAAAAAAAAAAAAAAAAAGAAAAGAAAATGCAAGACCCTGTCTCTAAGGCGAGAAAAAAAAAAAAAAAAAAAAAAAAGCTAACTGATGTGAATAGCTTAGGGCAGGCCCAGGCACAAATATTGGAATCCTCAGCCTCACAATCTAGCCTTTGGGTTCAGCAGAAAAGCCCCGGACTGGCTTTGGCATGAGACCCAGGTCTGAATCCCAAACAGGCCCTCAGTCACTGTGTGGCCGCTTCACTATGCCCCTTCTTTCCCCACCTGTAAAATGGAGCACGCATGCTCAGGAACGAGCCTGATCTTGACAGGCCTGGGCTGAGCCCTGACTTTTCTCCTTCAGGACAGAGACGCCCGCGGAAGCCACAGGGAAGCCACAGAGAGATGAAGCTGGCCCACAGAAGCAGCTGCCAGCGCTTGATGGGGCTGGTGGGAAGCAGCCCCAGCCAGAGAGTCTCCCAGCACAGGAAGAGGAGGCCCCTGTGTTACCCCCAGAGAAGCTAGCCCTGCAGAGGCGGAGGAGGGCCAAGAAGGCACGGCTGCTGGGCCCCACTGTGATGCTTGGTGGACGCGAGTTCAGCCGCAAGAGACTGCAGGCCTTTGGCCTCAACCCCAAACGGCTGCACTTCCGCCAGCTGGGCCGGCAGCGGAGGAAACAGCAGGGGCCCAAGAGCAGCTCCTGAGCCCCAGGGAGCAGGCAGGGGTCTCTGGCTCCTCCCCTCCAGTCAAGCCCTGGACAGGTCTCACACCCACAAGTACTGTCTGTTATAGAGAACCTCACATCTCTGACCAGGCACGCAGCTCATGCCTATAATCCCAGCACTTTTTTTTTTTTTTTTTTTTGAGACAGAGTCTTACTCTGTCCCCAAGCTGGAGTGCAGTGGCACAATCTCGGCTCACTGCAACCTCTGCCTCCCGGGTTCAAGCAGTTCTGCCTCAGCCTCCCAAGTAGCTGGGACTACAGGCACATGCCACCATGCCCAGCTAATTTTTTTTTTTGTATTTTTTAGTAGAGACAGGGTTTCACCATGTTGGCCAGGCTGGTCTCGATCTTTTGACCTTGTGATCCACCCGCCTCAGCCTCCCAAAGTGCTGGGATTACAGGCTTGAGCCACCGTGCCAGGCCTAATCCCGGCACTTTAGGAGGCCAAGGTGAAAGGATCACTTGAGCCCAGGAATTCGAGATGATAAGCCTGGGCAACATATCGAGACTCCATCTCTACAAAATGGGGGCACGTGCCTGTAGTCCTAGCTACTCAAGAGGCTGGGCAAGGAGGATCACTTGAGGCCAGGAGTTTTGAGGCTGCAGTGAGCTGTATGATTGCACCACTGCACTCCAGCCTGGGCAACAAAGCAAGACCTTGTCTTTTTTTTTTTTTTTTTGAGACGGAGTTTCGCTCTTGTTACCTAGGCTGGAGTGCAATGGCGCGATCTCGGCTCACCGCAACCTCCGCCTCCTGAGTAGCTGGGATCACAGGCACTCGCCACCATGCCCAGCTAAATGTTTTGTATTTTTAGTAGAGACGGGGTTTCACCATGTTGACCGGGATGGTCTCGATCTCTTGACTGCGTGATCCACCCGCCTCGGCCTCCCAAAGTGCTGGGATTATAGGCTTGAGCCACCGTGCCCGGCCTAAGACCCTGTCTCTTAAAGAAGCACGTGTAGCTGCAGGTAAGGAAGTTATCTCTCTCCTCAAGATACTTCCCAGACATTACATCCCCTCAGAATGCTGCGCCCAGCCACAGCCATCATCTAGTCACACAGCTTTATTGGTCCCCAGCAGCCAGTTTCCCTATGGTGGCTTTGGGACAGGGAGGGCCCGGGCGTCCAGTGCAAACTACAGTACTTGAGTCAGGCCCTGAGGGGGGTGCCCGGGATCCTCCCTGCCCTGCCAGGAGGGCCCCACTGGTGGGTGACAACAGGAAGTACTATCATTGCCAGAGCTCAAGATCCCACACCTGACATGACATAAATAAAAAAATAAATAGTGTTGCTGCTTTTCTCCCAATTCCCTCCCTTTATAAAAACACAAAGTCCTCGGAGCTGGGCCGTTTGGCTCTGAGGAGCCGCCCTGTGCGAGGGAGCCGGAGTGTGGGCTGGGAGAGCTGGGAGCAGAGGTCATCCAGGCTGTGGTCCTGAGCGTGGCCCTCGGCCAGAGTGAACATGGGGTACCGCTCCGTGGCTGAGGAGGAGCTGAGGACCTGGTAGGAGGAGGGGGACGCTCAGCCACAAACAGTGCCAAGCCGTATTCCCTAGCCCTGGTTACTCAGCCACAAATGGTGCCAAGCTGTATTCACTAGCCCTGGTTACTTACTAGCAGGTGCATCTCAAGACTGCCCTCCAGGGCAGGCCAGCCAGCACCTTCCAGCCCCTGGCCACAGGTGGCTCAGCCACTCAGCCAAACAACACTGGGATTTTTGCTGCAAAAACGAAATTCCCCTTCCAGTGACTAGAGAGTGTGTGCCTAGAAGGGCTGGTGGCCATCTTTTGCCCTAGTTACACAGCAGAGAGACAAGGAGGGTTCTCCCCACCTGACTGCCTGGATACAGCAAGTTGACCTGACAGGTGGCCTTGGCCTTGCACATTTTCAGGGGTGGACGTTCTTCACATTTCCCAGATTAGGACACCCAGCCTGGAAGCAGCACCCTAGCTCCACTGGACTCCAGGCCTCTGTTCCTGTTTCACCCCCAGCCCTGCCTGTCCACCCTCCCTCCCCTCCCCTCCAGCTTTCCTCTTGCTCACCCTGGTCAGCTCTGAGCAGAGTGTCTCAAACTCCTTCCTGTCTCCAGCGTAGAAGCCCACAGTACAGCTTGGGTCCATCTTGGCGAAGGCCATCTTGCGGGGCGAGGTGCAGTGGAAGGACTGGGGCAGACAGATGAGGGAGGCTCAGAGGCCCTGGCTGCCCACCCACCATGATCCCAACCACACGCTGCTGGGGCTCCCACTCACCTCCAGGGGAAAGTTGGCCTGGCTGACGTCCACAGTGGGCTGGCAGTAGTGAGGGTCCAAGTATAGCAGGAAGTCATCTGCAGGGGCGCAGGTGTGAGTGGGGATGGGGCGAGGGTTGGGGACTGAGGAGGGGTCAGGCCTACCTTGGTAGCCAATGAAGTACAGCGAGTGCCGCGGCTTCCCGCCCATGATGCCCAGGCACAGCTCACAACGCAGGAGTTCCTGCAGGGAGGGTGTGCAGGTGCTGTGAGGCAGCCATTCAACAAAAGCTTAGCAAACGCCGCCTCAGTGAGAACCCAGCCTCTGGAGGGCACCAGTGATCAAAACCACAAAACACCTGCCCTCAGGGGTTAACATCCTAGTGTGGGAGATGATTATTTTTTTTATAAGGAAGATGATTACATGGGTGTTTTTTATTTTATTTTTTTGAGATGGGAGTCTTACTCTGTCACACAGGCTGGAGTGCAGTGGCATGATCACGGTTCACCGCAACCTCTGCCTCCCGGGTTCAAGTGATTCTCTTGCCTCAGCCTCCTGAATATCTGGGATTACAAGTGCCCACCACCACGCCTGGCTAATTTTTGTACTGTTAGTAGGGACGAGGTTTCACAATGTTGGTCAGGCTGGTATCAAACTCCTCAGCCTCCCAACTGTGCTGGAATTACAGGCAGAGATCCACCTGCCGCAGCCTCCCAACGTGCTGGGATTTCAGGCGGAGATCCACCTGCCGCAGCCTCCCAATGTGCTGGGATTACAGGTGGAGATCCACCTGCCTAAGCATCCAAAGGGCTGGGATTACAGGCGGAGCTGATTACATGATTTATCTCATGTGTTAGAGGTGATAACTTTATGGAAAAGAATAAAGGAGGGAGAGGAACCTTGTGATTTTAAGTAAGGAGGTCAAACATTACAACTCCTTTAGAATTTGTCTCATAGGTTTTCTGATCCTCACTGGAAAACCTCCCAATGCAAAAAATATTTTAAGACAGAGGCCAGCTGGGCGCAGTGGCTCAAGCCTGTAATCCCAGCACTTTGGGAGTCCGAGGCGGGTGGATCACGAGGTCAAGAGATCGAGACCATCCTGGTCAACATGGTGAAACCCCGTCTCTACTAAAAATACAAAACATTAGCTGGGCATGGTGGCACGTGCCTGTAATCCCAGCTACTCAGGAGGCTGAGGCAGGAGAATTGCCTGAACCCAGGAGACGGAGGTTGCGGTGAGCTGAGATCGCGCCATTGCACTCTAGCCTGGGTAACAAGAGCAAAACCCCATCTCAAAAAAAAAAAAAAAAAAAATTTAAGACAGCGGCCAGCCAGGCGCAGTGGCTCAAGCCTGTAATCCCAGCACTTTGGGAGGCCGAGGCGGGTGGATCACGAGGTCGAGAGATCGAGACTATCCCGGTCAACATGGTAAAACCCCGTCTCTACTAAAAATACAAAACATTAGCTGGGCATGGTGGCGCGTGCCTGTGATCCCAGCTACTCAGGAGGCTGAGGCAGGAGAATTGCCTGAACCCAGGAGGCGGAGGTTTCGGTGAGCAAGATCGTGCCATTGCACTCCAGCCTGGGTAACAAGAGGGAAATTCCGTCTCAAAAAAAAAAAAAAAAAAAAAAGAGGCCTAACAGTGGCTCATATCTCTAATCTCAGTACTTTGGGAGGCCAAAGTGGGAGGATCACTTGAGCCCAGGAGTTCAAGACCAGCCTGGGCAACATAGTGAGACCCTGTCTCTAAAAAAAAAAAAAAGAGCTGAGTGTGGTAGTGAGTGTGCCTGCAGTCCCAGATATTCAGGAGGCTGAGGAGAGAGGATCATTTGAGCCCGGGAGGTTGAGGCTGCAGTAAGCTGAGACCACACCACTGCACTCCACCCTTAGTAACAGAGTGAGACTCTGAATCGATCAATCATAAATAAATAAGAGAGTCAGGGCAGGCCCTATTGAGAGATGATGGAAATAATTGAAGGATTTCTTTTGATGGTTAGTGTTAGTAAAATAACAAATTTTTAAATAAACAGAGCTGACTGTGGTGGTGCCTGCACCCGTAGTCCCAGCTACTCAGGAGCTACATGCATTACAGCTGAAAGAGCTCTCCATGCAGCAGGAGCCGGAAGCACAAAGGCCCTGGGGCAGGAGTGTTCTGAAATCAGGGAGGAGGCCCCTGTGGCTGCTGCAGCAGAGTGTGGGAGGAGATGAGGTCAAGGCAGGAGATGACCTCCAGAAGGTGATTGGGACAAACAGTGTGGGGTTCTGTGGGCCCTGGGGACACTTTGGCTTTTATTCTGATGCAAATACATAGGTGCCTTTCCAGCCTCAGGGCCTCTGTCTTGTTGTTCCTTTTGCCTGGAGCACTTCCTCCTCTGGCTCCTCGTTTGCCTGGTGGCTGCAGAGGGCCTTTTCTAGGCTCTCCTGCTACCCTCATCATTTGGGAGGCCAAGGCAGGCGGATTACCTGAGGTCAGGAGTTCAAGACTAGCCTGACCAACATGGAGAAACCTGATCTCTACTAAAAATACAAAATTAGCCGGGCGTGGTGGCGCATGCCTGTAATCCCAACTACTTAGGAGGCTGAGGCAAGAGAAGCACTTGAACCCAGGAGGCAGAGGTTGCAGTGAGCTGAGATCACGTTACTGTACTCCAGCCTGGGCAACAAGAGTGAAACTCTGTCTCCAAAAAAAAAAAAAAGGTCTGGTAGCTCACGCCTGTAATCCCAGCTTGGGAGGCTGAGGCAAGTGGATCACCTGCGGTCAGAAGTTCGAGACCAGCCTGGCCAACATGACGAAACCTGTCTCTACTTAAAATACAAAAATTAGCTGGGCATGGTGGCAGAAACCTGTAATCCCACGCTACTTGGGAGGCTGAGGCAGGAGAA